TAGAAACACCCACCTTCTACTTCCACTAACCAGCCACTTTATCAGAAACACCTACCTTGTGCTTCCACTAACTGGCCACTTTATCAGAAACACCTACCTTCTACTTCCACTAACTGGCCACTTTATCAGAAATACCTACCTTGTGCTTCCACTAAGTGGACACTTTATTAGAAACACCCACCTTGTGCTTGTACTTCCACAAACTGGCCATTTTATCAGAAACACCTGTCTTTTGTGTCTGGCCCTTTTATTAGAAACAGCAACCTTATAGGTCCCCCAGGCAGGTGTACACCCAAAAATATCCAGTCAAGAAGGGCTCTGTGGTCAAAGACTGACCCCTGATTTAGGACTAGAGGACGGCCAACAGCAGCAAGGTGGAACTACAAGAGAGGTGTTTTTGATAAAGTGGCCACGGTGAGGGCTAATAGATGTTAATTTGCTGTGCTTGTTTGCGTCGTTTCTGTTCTAACACAGTGAAATCAGATCACGAGTTTAATCAGGTGTGTCTGATCTCATAAATGTTCATGTTGCGTGTTAGATCTGCACAGGAAGTGGAACTGAGGACCTGCGGGCTGTGCAGTTGGCGTTAGCGTGTGAAACTGTATCACCTCAGTGTGTCCCGCTGAGGAGGCTGCGTGTCCAGCTGGCGTAATGATTACACTTTATTATATTTGAATTAAACCTGAGCATTTCACTTAATTAGTGGTCTAATTGTCAGCAGGACTTGCAGGTTCATCTGACCACTTTTCCACTCAGGTTATTTTTACAGAACAGTGTGTGTTGGTGTGAACATAATTGGGAGTTGCTAGGCAGCCGGTTTTTGCGCTATCCACTCCGGAGCGCCTCTCCGATCGGCCAGTTTATGCGAAGAGCTCTCGGCCGTCACACCAAGTCCCTGATAAGAGCCTCTTTCTCCGCAGGGGCTTCTCCATAATTGCTGCTTTTTCAAACTTCTCACTAAATTCACTAAATTGGTTAGTTGAAGGGGAACTCCACCAATTTTTCAAAATTTCTGCATAATAATATAGTTTAAAGTGGTTCAGAGCGGTTTGGTGTGAAACGCTCCGTTCTAGAGAAAATTACTGAGTCAGAACTGTTCACAGTGGTGGTGATAGGAACCAGACGTCCACCTCTAAAAGCTCCCTCACAGAAAGTTCCTACATGAAATGGTTATGAATTCACTGCCTGATGACTGAGACACTGTTTTATGACAGTTTAGAGAACTTAAACTCCATTCATGGTGGAGGGATACATGCAGGGCGCTGTGAGGCAAAATAGTCCCCAAAGAAAACTTATTATTTCAGATTTTCCACTATTTTCCATCATCAACATTCCATATAAACTCAGAAGACTCGTGTAGGTTCACTGGTGGTTCTGGATAGTAAATAAAATGTCTATATCTGTGTTGTCGTCATGGCGACCCCTGGTTCCTATCACCACCACTGTAAACAAATCTTAGGTGATTTTCCATCAAAGTATCCCTTTAATCTCTATGCTTACTGCAGCAAAATGCATGAAACAAAAGTCACACAAAATGGTAAAATTAACGCAAAGCCATCGACTGTGAGCTTTCACAGCTTCTGTAATTCCCAGGTACTTCAGAAAAAGTGCAGTTACAGGTCCGGGGAGAGAAAAAAGAAAGAAAAAGGAGATATTTTTAAACACCTCTCCCATTTGTTGGATTGTGTTTGCTCTTTCGGTGGAGTGGAGGAAAGTGGGACGGCGCTCCGGAGGGGACGGCCTGCGGGGAGGCCCGAGCCAGGAACACGCACCAAAACTCCTCCAGAGACCTTCATAAAAAAGAGGAAAAGAGACAGAGAGAGGAAAAGAAGAGTTATTAGAGTAGCGCTGTCTGTGTGTGATCCCTCATTAAAGATCAGAATCAATACTGCTGCCTCCCTACTTGACTTATCTCCCTCACGGCACCCCAGAAATGCCAAAACAAAACAGTTATTCAGTGTTTATTCACCTGCAGATGCATTAAAGGTGCAGTAACCGATGGCTTCTGTGTATATTAAAGGTACAGTCTGTATTTTAAAGGTACCGTTAAAGATGATTTCTCTGTTTATTAAAGGTGCGGTCTGCATTATAAAAATGCAGTAACTGATGGGTCCTCTCTATATCAAAGGTGCAGTCACTGATGGCTTCTCTTTATATTAAAGGTGCAGTCTGTATATTAAAGGTGCAGTCACTGATGGCTTCTCTTTATATTAAAGGTGCAGTCTGTATATTAAAGGTGCAGTCTCTGATGGCTTCTCTTTATATTAAAGGTGCAGTCTGTATATTAAAGGTGCAGTCACCGATGGCTCCTCTGTATATCAAAGGTGCAGTCACTGATGGCTTCTCTGTATATTAAAAGTACAGTCTGTAAATTAAAGGTGCAGTCACTGATGGCTTCTCTGTATATTAAAGGTGCAGTCTGTATTTTAAAGGTGATGTCACTGATGGCTCCTTTGTATATTTAAAGGTGCAGTCTGTATATTAAGGTGCAGTCACTGATGGCTCCTCTGTGTATTAAAGGTGCAGTCTGTATATTAAAGGTGCAGTGTGTATATTAAAGGTGCAGTCACTGATGGCTCCTCCATATATTAAAGGTGCAGTCTGTATATTAAAGGTTGCTGAAGATGGAGTAGAAATGGTCCCACATGTATCACTGGTCTTGAAACACTGATCTACAGTCATATAATTATTGATTAATTGTTTATTGAATTGATATTGTTTTTATCTACCTGTCTGTCTGTCTATCTATCTATCTATCTATCTATCTATCTATCTGTCTGTCTGTCTGTCTGTATGTCTGCCTGTCTGTCCGTCTGTCCGTCTCCAGTCTTTATCTGTGATCTGTAATGTAAGCTGAGCGTGCTGTGATTGTGTGCTGTGTTGTAATAATAGTGTTCTGCGCTCTGTTCTTTCTTCTGCTTCCTGTTCGGTTCCTATTACAGTGATGGAACCCGTTAAAGCGCAGTGACGGCTCCGTGTGCATTTGTCTCTCAGCTGGAGTCTAATGAAGGATCTGAGGCTTCTAATATCAGAATTAGTCTCAAACGTCATATTCTGTTAAAGTCACCACACTGGGCTGCGTCCTTATTCTTACCTCCTAAGGAGAACTCTACTCACACTGCTAATCACACTCACCCTTTTCTAGTGTTCACTCCGCTCACCCTTACGAGACTAAACCTCCTAAATCCTGTCCTAACTTTAGGATGAACCCCAACAGGGTCCTCACTTCTGTTTAAGGTCCGTTTCTATGGTTTTTAGGCAGCTGAGTCAGCAGCATAGTTCACTACCAGCATAATGAGCTCCATTTATTCCTACTGTAAAACGCTGCTTTCACTGTGAGATGATTTTCTTTTCTAACTCTGCGTTTTAAAGATCTCAGACGCTGCAGACTCGATCTCCACCGCCCCTCTGATTACCTTCGTGTGTTAATGTTGATGATGAAATATTACAGTGATGGTGGTGAATAATGAGGAGATGGAGCTGAACGTGTGTCTGTTTATTAGGAGGAGTAACGTTAGCGCGCTCGGCTGAAGCGTTTGGGAAATGGAGACTGAAACTGGAGAACGGAGACGCTCTGATAAACAGCAGGGGGCGCTCTCACAGTATTCACCACTGTTTATCACTCTTTAGTTCTGTTTGACCTTCTTTACATCAGTAACAGCAGCTTAACTCACATTTTAATGTTATTTTGATTACATGTTTGTGTTAGCTGTTTGTGTATGGTCAGTTGCTAGGAAACAGACATGACAGCTGATTGTCGACTTGGATTGAGTAGGTTAACATTTCCTAACTGGAGATTCTGTAAGATTTTGAGTTCATTAAACTTCTAATAGTAAGTTAAAAGAACAATAATCTATGTTATACATTCTGTTAACTTATTATTATAAAACAAATAGTTCAGGTCCTACAATCTGATCTGTAGGACCGACTCATAACAACTGACCTCTGTATCACTGCACCACCTCACGAAAAACCCTTCCACTGTTAATGAATAATCTTTGACTCTAATGCTGCTCACATGGAGCACCGAGTGAACTGATGAAGAAAGAACCCGGTTCTGTTTAAACTGAGAGGCTGACAACTTATTTTCTTATCTAGAACCAGGCTGGTCAGCTAGCTAACAGGCTAAAAGATAAACAGTCTAAACTGCTCCATCATTAATATCACAGGCTTGAATTAAAGCACTTACAGTGTGATTTACTGTAAAACTGCAGTATAAAAGACTACAAAATGTCACCTGAATGTTTTACACACTTCAAATGTCCGTGTTTCAGTCAAAAGTCGCGTCAAACCCAGACTGAATCCCAAACGGCTCTGTACTCCCTAAATAGTGTTCTAGCTATGAGAGTTTAGAAATTCTAGCCTCTACAGCCAAACAGTGCATCATGTATCGAGTGTGGATGAGTCTGAATCCCAAATGACTGTTTCTTAGCTGTATTTTGCTCTGTTGGGCTGCAGGATCCAGTATTTACACTCCCTACCTAGTGCACTATGTAGGGAGCAGGGAGCCGTTTGAGACTCAGCCCCAGTGTGAGAAGAGGCGCCGCTGGATTGGTGCTAAATAAGACTCGCGGTGGTGATTTGGTGACCAAAAAGTGTGTATAAAGTGAAGGTTTCTAGATTAAACAGTGCTGTGTTATCATATGTTCACTGTTATACGACATAAAGTTTAAAAATTCATGAAATGATCAGTGTACAGCGATGGGTGACCAAACGTTCTTCTCCTCATGCAACAGTCCATGGTTGCTTGGCAACAATGCCATACTCTAAAGGAACTACATTTCTTGGTGGAATATTTGTTTTTGTTAATTATTATTAATGAGAACTTCCACATCTTCCGTTTATCAAAGTAGGAATGACTGTGGTGCATCCTGCAGTAGCATATTTATGATTACATACAGCTTCAAAAAAAGATGTGATTTTTAAAACATTAAAACATTCCTGTTCTCTCTCTCTCTCTCTCTCTCTCTCTCTCTCTCTCTCTCTCTCTCTCTGTGCAGGTTCTCAGGAGGTGGTGTGTCCTCTGAACCACATGCAGTGTATTGGTACACACAGGTGTGTTGCGTTCTCTAAAGTGTGTGATGGAGTGGCAGACTGTGAGGATGGCTATGACGAGGGCGTTCACTGCAGAGGTAAGACACAACCTGTACTCGTCACTTTGAGACCTAAGCTCGACTTGTTACTTTGAGACCTGAGCTGTACCTGTGAGCTTGAGGCATGAGCTGTACCTGTGACTTTCAGATCTGAGCTGTACCCCCAATTTTGAGACGTTTTCCTGTACCTGCCACTTTGAGGCCTGAGCTGTACAAGTGACTTTGAGACCTGAGCTGTACCTGTGACTTTGAGACCTGAGCTGTACCTGTGACTTTGAGACCTGAGCTGTACCTGTGAGCTTGAGACTTTTTCCTGTACCTGCCACTTTGAGGCGTGAGCTATACAAGTGACTTTGAGATCTGAGCTGAACAAGTGACTTTTAGGCCTCAGCTGCACTTGTGACTTTGAGAACTGACACCCCACCTGCTACTTCGAGACCGGGTCTCAGACTCAGTACCTCCAGTTTTGAGACTGGACTTGTACTTGTAACCTTGACTTGACTCATACCTGATACCTGACTTTGAGACCTGACCCATACTCACAACTTCAAGACCTGAGCTGTATCTGTGGCTTTGATACTGGACACTAACCCCCAAATTTGAGCCTCAACCCGTACCGACCATTTTGAGACCCGTGACTTTTGGATTTGACTGTTTTCCACAACTTTGAGGCTTGACCTATACCTACAACTTTGAGACCTGATCGGTGCCCATGACTTTGGAGCTCAACTGGTTTCTGTGATTTTTGGTCCCTACCCATACCCGCAACTTTGAGACCTGACCCTTACGTGCAACTTTGAGGCCCGTGATTTTCAGACTCAACCTGTGCCCCTATCTTTGAGGCCCACACCTGCGACTTTGGGACTCGACTGTTTTCTGTGATTTTGGGTCCCAACTTGTACCTGCAACTTTGAAACTCAACTGGTACCTGCGATTTTGGGACTTGACCTGTATCCGCAACTTCAAGACCTGTAACCATGACTTTGGGACACGATTGATACCCGTAATTTTGGGTCAAGACCCATACTTGCAACTTTAAGACCTACACTGTACCTGCGACTCTGAGTCTTGACCCATACCTGCCACTTTGCGACCTGACCCATACCTGCAAATCTGACTTGACTTTTTTTTTATCATTTCATAATTTGAGTGTACAGGTGGCATCAGGGTTCTCGCAGAGACTCTCCTTTCTGCTTCTGTTGTTTTGCTGTATTTGCATACAGTGGGATGTCGTGTTTTCAAGTGGTATCAAACTAGCTAGAATTTCTTGGGTGTTGTTTTTCCTCATGATACTCATTGTAAATCTCATCTCAAATATTCCTCATAGAAAACATTAAATAGTTCCACATGGCTGAAATTTCACTGTTGATCTGCTGCTCAAACTGTTTGAACTTGTGCATGCTGACCAGTTCAGGGGAGTGACGGAAAGAAGCAGCATTTTTACTCAATTTATCTTTTTGATTTTCAGTCAAAAGGTACTTTTTCTGACCATTTTCGGACTAAAATGTTTGGTGACTAAAATTTCAGCCCAGTAAACTTTCATTTACCACAAGCATTTCCAATTGGAAATGAAGAAAACCCAACGATGTGAAACACGGTGTACTCCGTATGTGAGCGGATCTCACAGGTAGCCCCTGGGTACCTCATGCTATAGATTTTTTTGTGTTATCTCTGCTTCAGCAATCCTGACACAGGTGATGAAGAACTCGCTAATGAGCTGACGAGGTGTGCTAGACTGGGGGAGATGCTAAAATCTGAGGAAATGAGCTTGGGAACCACTAGTTCCTGTATTTGTTATCTGTGATTGACAGTATTTTATTATAATTTGCCTTTTTCTCTACACTGTAAACAATGGAGCAGGACAGAGGTTGGTTTGAAGCGTGTCTGTGTGATGTGGATTGACGAGCACTGCCTTTGTTCATCTAAACTGTTATCATGCTTCACACCGTTTGAATTAAATAAGTAATTTAACTTGAATTAAACCATTTAAATCGCTTATTACAGGCACATTTCCTCAGTCAAACCACTAATATATTGGCCCTCACCCTCAGAAGTAGATCTGGTCTGGTGAGGTTCCTGCCCAGTGGAAACCAGTTATTTTCTAGATTTAGATTCTAGAAAATTGCACAACCCCACCATCTTTAAACAGAAATAACTCCACCCCACCCACCACCCACCACCCACCACTTCAGAAAGCCACATCAGCCACGGCTGTTCAGCTGAGTGTTAAACTGGTTCGAAACAGCTTAGATTAGAACCCAGTGAGCAGGTGCTTTAAAGGAATACTATACCAGCTACATCTGTATTATACAGTCACAAATACTCTTATAATAAGTCAATGGGCAGCTGCTTTACAGGAATATTGATTTTCAATCCAATATCTTACCTAAAATCTTACTACAAACCAATGGACAGACACTTTAAAGAATACCCCACCAATCTTTAGGCTAATCCATGTCTGGTGGATCTGAGGTGTGCAGGTGCTTATCCTGGACAGCAGTTTTAACATCTTTCTCTGCTTTAGACAACAAAATAAAGAAGTCGGCTAGAAATACACTTATAATGCACTTACAGCACCATGCAAAGGTCAGAGACCACCTTATGTTTATTCCATTTCCTTAACAGCTAAATCTAATCTCAGCTGTGTGAGTCGGTGAGTCACTCTTCACCTTTATTCCAGCTTCCATTCTTTTCAGGAGCCTCACTTTCAGTTCCTCAAAGAATCTGCAGACACACCTCCAAAGTCTTTGAAGTTGGTTGATCATTTTCTGAAGTAGTAAAAGCTACAGAGAAAATGTGGCTCCTAACAACCACCTGGAAGAGCTGGTCGACCCCAAAACTGCCCCATCAGATAAACAGCACTTAAAGCTTTCATCTCTGAGAGAGAGGAGAAAATCAAGCTGATCAGATCTGAAAACATCCACAGGTGTTTCTGTCCATCCTTCCACTGTGAGAAGACGACTCAGCGCTGTGGGTCTGAAAGGATGTGTAGCTGATCAAGAAGAACCTCACTGAGAAAAGGAGACGGACACATCAAACAAAGAAGCTGAACGATGGACTGACCACCCCAGAGTCCAGACCTCAGCACCACTGCTTTGTGCTCAGGGGCTCAGTCATGCTGGAAGAGGAAAGGTCCTGCTAAGTGTGTTTGTGTGGTCTACCTCTTCGTGGCTGAGCTGTTGTTGCCTCTAGATGCTTCCATTTCACAATAATAGCACTTTCAGTTGTCTGGGGCAGATCTAGCAAGGCAGAAACTTCACACACTGACTTGTGGCAGAGGCAGCATCCTATGACAGAGCCATGTTTAAAGTCACTGAGCTCCTCAGTACGACCCTCTACTGCCAGTGTTTGTCTATGGGGATTGCAGGGCTATGTGCTTGATTTTATACACCTGTTAACATTAAGTGAACTCAGTAATTAGGAGTCCATATATATGTATATATATACATGTGCACACACACACACACACACACACACACATATATATATATATATATATATATATATATATATATATATATATATATACATATGTATATATATACATATTACTGTGATCACTACTGTAAGTACACACACACACATATATGTATGTGTGATCACAGTGATTATCCCAGGTCAGATTTTATTATGAAGACACCAGGTGGTGTCTTTTATCTCTGTCACACTCTCCCCCCCTCTATTCTATTTTCTCAGTCCTCCAGTGGCCTGCAGTGGTCACTGTGAGTCAGGCTCCATCCCTCATCGTCTCCAGAGAACACTCACACCAAGATGTTCTGAGGAGTAACGGAACAGCAGGGACGGCGACCGTATTTACAGTCACTAACACTGTTCAAGGGCAAACACGTCCAATCTCACAGTTCAGCCGTCCACTGCAGTGACTGACCCAAAGCTCCACGTGTCACATTTTCCTACACACCATGTTCGGATCCGTCAGGCTCTGTGAGATAATACTGTAGATATGGCTGAGTTATATGACTCTTTGAGAGTCGGTATCCAGAACGCTTTGGTAATTTGCCTAAAATGGACTAAACTTGGTGATTAAGTGATGAATCAGATGTGCTTGAGCAGAGAAATCACTGAACTGTGCTGGACTCCAGCCTTTCCAGCCCAACACCTGCACTCTAAAGCATTAATCTCATGTTGTTGTCGTTTTTCTGAGTGAAAATAAGTGAACACATCCTCCACAGAGACACTTAAACCCTGTTTCTTTTTACTTGCTGAGTTTAACCCTCTGAGCTCGTTCTCTCTCTGGATTTGTGCTTCTCTTCTTAAACTCTCCTCTAAAGGCTCTTCATATATCATGATCCTCATATGTTTCATATCTAAATGCTCCGTTATCTTCATCACTACTTTCCAAACCCGCTGCAGCAGCTTCAGCAGCTGTAAACTCTCTGCACGCCGTTTCACATGAGTCTCCGATGTGGACTGAATGAAGAATGAAGGGTGTCCGGCGTGATGGTCAGTCCTTAGTGATTTCCTGAGTGTCCATTGGTCAGTTTCACACAGAATGTAGACAGACACACCAATCCACCAGTTCCACACGGTGAGAGGCAGATGACATGTATCTCAGCCCCTCTTCATAGGCTCATAACTCCGGATGTGAGTCTCGTATGATCTCGTGATAAGATGGAATGGAAAGGGCGACTCTACAGACTCAGGAAGTGTTTGATCTGGATTTCTGAGCTGGATCATCACAAAGATACAGACACAGATAGAAACATTAACAGACATTGAGTTTGACCTGTTCGTCGACCTCATAGGGTTAAGATATTGGAAAAGAAAATGTACAAAATATAAAATGTGCTATAACATTTGTAGACCACATTTTATACTATGTTCTCCAGAACATTAAATTTGGTAAATAAACACTAATTATGCATTGAAATGTGTTCTCTGTAGAGGACGCGCTTATTTACGCTCAGAAAATCACTGAAATTTCACTAAAAAAAACAGAAAAGAGCAGCAGCCTGTAGCCTCGAGCTGCCTCAATAAACTCAAGGTAGTCAGTGACAGAAGCCAAAACTGAAATGTCACCA